TAAAATCAAATGTCGGTGAATCATACCAATTACCACCATAGCCAGTTAACCCTTTCACCCCTATGTAACTTTAGTAGACTCTGCCATGCATTCATATGGAGGGGTCCATTATGGTCTACAGTGGTGAAAGGGTTAAGCCAGATAAAAAAAATCTGTGTCTTCAGTGGTGAATGAGTTAATAGATATGTGGTTTTTATAGACAGATACTAAGTAGACATGTGGTCTCTATAGACAACAATGGTCTGTATAGAAAGGTAGTAACTAACGTGTCTTCACTTAATAAATGGACGGTCTTTATTGACAGGTACAACATTTATATTCGGCCCTTTTAGACAGGTAAAGATTTGTGGTCCTTGTAGAAAGGTATTAAATAGCTTGTCCTCACTTGATAAATGGGTTATCTCAATAGACAGGCACTAAATACACAAGGCATTTATTGGTCTTTATAGACAGGTACTATGTTGATATGTGGTCCTTTTATACAGGTTAAGATATGTGGTCTTTATAGAAAAGTATTAAATAACAGAGACTCGGTTGATAAATGGGTGGTCATTATATACAGGAACTAAGTACAAAGTCATGTAATCGATGTATAAGTGGTCCTTACAGACAGAAACTAAATAGACATATTCATTATAGACAGTAACAGATATATGGTCATTATAGACAGTTACAGATATATGGTCGTTATAGACAGTTACAGATATATTGCCATTATAGACAGTTACATTTATATGGTCATTATAGAGAGTTACAGATATATGGTGATTATAGACAGTTACAGATATAAGGTCATTATAGACAGTTAGAGATATATTGTCATTATAGACAGTTACTGATATATGGTCATTATAGGCAGTTACAGATATATGGTGATTATAGACAGTTACAGATATATTGCCATTATAGAAAGTTACAGATATATGGTCGTTATAGACAGTTACAGATATACAGTCATTATAGACAGTTACACATATATGGTCATTATAGAGAGTTACAGATATATGGTCCTTATAGACAGTTACAGATATATGGTCATTATAGACAGTTACAGATATATTGCCATTATAGACAGTTACAGATATATGGTCATTATAGACAGTTACATATATATGGTCATTATAGACAGTTACAGATATATGGTCATTATAGACATATTATGTTCACACGTTTCAAGTTTATTTCATTGTAACCGATTATTGATCGATTATCGGTTGATTATGATGAACAGATTATCGATCATGAAATTTCTATCGAATCCCACCCCTAGCTTTGCTTGTGAAGATCAATCATGGCACTAAGACTGGTACATATGTTCTAGCTAGATAACAGGTCTCTATGGCAAGTCTCGCACCACAGAATTTACGATCGTAATCAATGTAATATAACAATGACCCGGCACCGTGGAATTACTTCCCGGAGGTGTGAACGATCGTAAACCATGATAAATGCCAATCAATAATTCATACCAACATGATCAGCCATTACAACAAAACTGACAAAAAATATATTAAACAATTTATCACGCTGATGAGGAGATACAAAAGAGTAAAAATAGAACCGTAATTGACAATATAACCAAACTGTTTTCCCTGTGGTAGATTTTGAATGTACATAAGATTACAGCAGCCTTAAGCTTCTAGCTTCGGGCTAGTGGGAATATCCCTTTAGCTCAATCAGCAAATTGGCAGAATGGGAAGCTGGAGGTTGCTGGTTCGATTCCTGGTGGAAACACACTGATATGCCTGTGTATTGCGATAAAGTGTTTTTTACGATTTATTGTGACAGCCCTCACAGATTCATTTTCATGTTTCTTCGCACCTGACCAGCTTATCAGCTAAGCCTCCTACTAATTAAATAGTATTGATGTCATGGTTGCTACTTAACTAATAATGACATCATGATTAACTGTACGAAAGTAGAAATATAAAGCTTTATCGCTATTCTCATGCAACTGTCACATAACGCATGGAATATCTTTGTAAACCATTTATATAACACTGGAGCTTGTACTCTAAGCAATGTCACCATAAATATGATCAATTCTGCCATATTTAGGAAGATAACCACTAATCAGATTTAAGGATCCTCGTACCACTGCACTGCTTTTTTTCCTTTGCAGAGTAAGCTCCCCTGAACTTCCATTTGGATGTAACTGTAACACACTAGGGCCAGAACACTTCAGTTGACCAGGTAGCTCAGTCAGTTAGAGCAATGTAACTGTAGCACACTAGGGCCAGGACACTTCAGTCGACCAGGTAGCTAAGTCGGTTAGAGCGATGTAACTGTAGTACACTAGGGCCAGGACACTTCAGTTGATCAGGTAGCTCAGTCGGTTAGAGCGATGTAACTGTAGCACCCTAGGGCCAGGACACTTCAGTTGACCAGGTAGCTCAGTCGGTAAGAGCGATGTAACTGTATCACACTGAACTTCCATTTGGATGTAACTGTAACACACTAGGGCAAGGACACTTCAGTTGACCAGGTAGCTCAGTCGGGTAGAGCGATGTAACTGTAGCACACTAGGGCCGGGACACTTCAGTTGACCAGGTAGCTCAGTCGGTAAGAGCGATGTAACTGTATCACACTAGGGCAAGAACACTTCAGTTGACCAGGTAGCTCAGTCGGTAAGAGCGATGTAACTGTATCACACTGAACTTCCATTTGGATGTAACTGTAACACCCTAGGGCCAGAACACTTCAGTTGACCAGGTAGCTCAGTCGGTAAGAGCGATGTAACTGTATCACACTGAACTTCCATTTGGATGTAACTGTAACACCCTAGGGCCAGAACACTTCAGTTGACCAGGTAGCTCAGTCAGTTAGAGCGATGTAACTGAAGCACACTAGGGCAAGAACACTTCAGTTGACCAGGTAGCTCAGTCAGTTAGAGCGATGTAACTGAAGCACACTAGGGCAAGGACACTTCAGTTGACCAGGTAGCTCAGTCGGTAAGAGCGATGTAACTGTATCACACTGAACTTCCATTTGGATGTAACTGTAACACACTAGGGCCAGAACACTTCAGTTGACCTGGTAGCTCAGTCAGTTAGAGCAATGTAACTGAAGCTCACTAGGGCCAGGACACTTCAGTTGACCAGGTAGCTCAGTTGGTTAGAGCAATGTAACTGTAACACACTAGGGCCAGGACACTTCAGTTGGCCAGGTAGCTCAGTCGGTCAGAGCGATGTAACTGTAGCACACTAGGGCCAGAAACTTCAGTTGACCAGGTAGCTCAGTCGGTAAGAGCGATGTAACTGTAGCACACTAGGGCCAGGGCACTTCAGTTGACCAGGTAGCTCAGTCGGTTAGGGCGATGTAACTGTAGCACACTAGGGCCAGGACACTTCAATTGACGAGGTAGCTCAGTCGGTAAGAGCAATGTAACTGTAGCACACTATGGCCAGGACACTTCAGTTGACCAGGTAGCTCAGTTGGTTAGAGCAATGTAACTGTAACACACTAGGGCCAGGACACTTCAGTTGGCCAGGTAGCTCAGTCGGTAAGAGCAATGTAACTGTAGCACACTATGGCCAGGACACTTCAGTTGACCAGGTAGCTCAGTCGGTAAGAGCAGTAGTAGTTACAATCTGATGTCCAGGGTTCGAAACCAGTCCAGCCCAGGGGCTGAATTTTAACACCAGAGAACTGTTGTGTAAACCACAAAGAAAACTTAGTGTTTTCCGTAGTGTTTTATATGAAGCAACTAATTTTACATGGGTCAAGTGGAAATATTTTTGGATGTCTAAGGTCTACTCGCACTCCATTGGTAGAATCTGTTTTGTTCTCAGTACCAGGCTGTCGTCACTATACTGATAGTCACAAACATATCGGTACTGTCCTATACTGGAAAACTTTCGCCCAGTCAAAATTTCCCACTTCACTGGTAGAACCCAGTTTCACTCAGTCTTATTTTTCGCCCTTCACATGTTATTTATATGTATAGTATGTTGTACTTATAATTTTTACTGTCGTGATAAACTCACCCTCATTATGGAGGGCGAAAAAAGTGAAAGTTAAACTGTGGGGAACATATTTTCCGGTACACAGTATTCTGCAATACTCATGAAATACATATGATATTTGATGGGCAGCCATTTAACTTATAATTCACCCCTGAAATTTCATAATGAACTATTCCAACCTTTGAATTGGAAGAGTTCAAATGTGTCTTCAGGGGTGAATGAGTTAATATCCTCTGTTAAGGATCCTTAGACCACTGCCTTAAGCTATATTATTTTTGTTTGTTTGGGGCATGTCAAAATTAAAAGCTGTAGTAAAACATTCCCAAAAAAAAAAGAATTTCAGAATTTTCTGCTCATGAAAGAGATAAAAGCGATCAACACATTATTCCATGCTATCCAACAAATTGACAGGAAAAATGCAACAGGGCAAACTGAGATTCGAACCCAGGGCACCAAGAATGTGGCTTTCGCTTTTACCAACTTCTTATAAGCTACCAAATCATCGACAGTCCCCCGCCTCAGTGTTGCTACAGTTTTTAAATCCAAACTGAAATTAAGGGGAGATCAGTCAAGATCTGAAAAAACTACGATGGAATTCTCTAGCATTTTACATGGATTGGGACAGGGATCCCTAAATTTCCTTTGTAAAAGGCTGTTCATTGGGCAGTGAAAACATACACAGAACACAAGCCATTCGGAATTGATATGTCTCCCCTGCGCCTCACTTTGACCATCGACGCACATATCAGAGAAACTAACTTAAATGCAAAAACTTAATGTTGATGACAAAGTCAATGGACCATGAAAGGTAGGCTGTATCCAGCATTTGATACATGGGTTGAGATGTACTACCGAAGATGCATCTATGGTCTAAGTTTGGTTGGTCTAGCACTTAATATACTTTCAGTGAAACTAACTTAAACGCAAAAACTTAATATTGACGCCACCACTGTCACCGCCGGAAAAAAAAAATCCCCTTAGTCTCGCTTCCACTTTGTGGTGGTGAGATATTAAAACGGATGATAAACCACTTACTTCATTTTACAGCCATGAAATAGTCCGGTGTTGACAAACGATGGACAGATGAGCGTTGTATTTACGCCGTCGTAACCTCCGTATATCACCTCGTAGTGAAGCACCTCTGAGAATCCGACAACTCCAAATTTGGACGTGCTATAATCAGTGAGTTTATTGAGTCCCACTAATCCAGTGGAACTTCCGACAGTTACAACATGGCCGCGGTTCCTCCTCATCATTGTCGGGAGGAACGATTTCACAGTCTGCAATGAAATGAAGGGCATATTACCATGATTGATAAATATTCTATATGGAGGATCTTACATGAGTGTCCAACACAATGTAAGATTCTATTTATCACATAACATTCATAATTTGAAGAAAAAAAATCAAACACAATTATGTGTTATCAGCTGATCCGACTCCATTTAGGTAAAAATCAGAGTACTCCGATCATCGTATTGCCGTTCCGCACAATGAAAAGTAGTTCAAGATTTTTTTTTATTTATCATGAACTGAGTATCAAATGCAATGAAAATAATAATGACAAAACAATATGTATCAAAATAACAGTAAATGTATCATGTGGTATAGTACATGAAAGTAGTACCTGTAGTGGCGTAGGAATATGTTCCCACGGTTTGACCAATCCAAGCCCCTTTCATTTTTATTACATGTGTGTAATACCATACTTATGACATGGCCATGTGACATAATAAAATGGGTCAGTTACCGGTATGTGATACTTACATCTTACATGAGTTTCCATTTCACATGAGATTTATAAAACAAGTCAAAGTGGCTCGCAAAAAAGGAAAAATTTTGACGAGATTCACAAATTTCATATGAAATAAAATGGAATGTAAGATCCTTTTTTATAATCACATAATCAAGATTTGTGGCATTTATTCGTGTAAATGACAACTTTCATGTAACCTTGAATTGTAAAAAGCCGCCATTTTGTCTCCAGTGAGTAAGTCTGTGACGTCATGTAGTTGTCTTAGGATTGAAATCACAATTGAAACAATTGAAACTTACAACCAGTCACAGGGCTGATATAATACTATAAGGTCATATTACACATGGGTTAATACGCAAAAAAATATGACATTGGTATATTCACTGGATAACACAGTACATTATGTAATAAACTAATTTATCACATACCTGTTGAATCTTGTTATAGTAATACAAGCAATTTTCAGACCATGAAATACAACGTTCTGTATTGTACAAGTGCAATACGGAATGTTGTATTTACCTACTAGCCGGAACTACTTTTTACGGGAATCCCCTTGTCATGGCGAACCGAAAAGTTCTGGGTATTTGCAAAAAAATATCAAACTACATAAAATCTTTGTATCGATCTCTACCAAATACGGAAGGTATGTGATAAAAGCAAGATCCGCGCACTCGTGAATATATTCGTCCGCGCAATTAATTTGTGCTTTCTGATTCGTTAGAAAAACACAAGTGTGCGGTCTTGCATATATATTGCGCGAGTATGGCATAACATAGATATTGTTCACATCACTGAAACCATAATTACCAACATAATGGGAAGCAATAAGAAAAGTGACGATGTACAGGAACGATGGCTGTTCTATATTACCAATAGACCAATAATCAATGCATCAGCTACTTTAATTTTTTGTCTTTATAGTCTCCCAAGCAGTTAATAGAACCAATATATATACTACATATAATGCTGGGTCCATGATTTAACATTTCTGTGTGGTAGTTCTAGGGAAGAAGCTCTGAAGGTCACTCAATCACACGCAGGTCAAGATCATGTGTCCTATATTACTTATACCAATTATAGTCAATGCATCCTATACTTTAATATTATTTTTTATTCATAGTCTCCCAAGTAATTGATAGAGCAAATACTAGTTATAATTCTGGGTCTATGATTTAACATCGTTTTCTGTGAGGTGCCTGCTAGTTCTAGGGAAGAAGCCCTGAGGTTCGCTCAATACAACATCTTGTCATCATATAAGGTCCATGAAGAGGCCACATGAAACCCTAGAATCGTCATCACATTAATTAGCTTGGTAAGGAGATCCATTGTGAAACCTTAGGAAAACTGTAATATCAGTGGTATGGAATTCAAAAACCATTTTCTAGAAATATGTGCGTGTAGCTAGGAATTCACTAAAATACCACCAAATCTAATAAGATATCACGAACAATTTTGAAGAACTCACAAGCTATTCTCTAGAAATAGCTAGGAATTCACTCTTCAGGGGTGAATGAGTTAAAAACTAAGTAAAAACACTGTATACTTTGACCTTAGTGCTGAATGAAAATCCAAGCTAAAAAAAGGTTATAGGTCATCAATACAAAAGGCCCAAGGGCCTTAGCGGTCACCTGAGTTATATCTTAGGTACGTACTGGTAGCTTTATTTTATTGTTTAGATGTGATGTGGAAATCAGCATGTAAACTAAGTGAAATACAATACTTGTCATGTCATCAAAGGATAAGAATTTGAAAATATTGGTAAATGTTCCCTTTGGGGCCCCGCCCTAGCCCCTGCGGATGGGGCAGGAATCCCAATTTTACAAAGTAATACTCTCATTCACCCAAGATGATTCGGACTAAGTTTGAGTAATTTTCTGCTGAAAATGGATAAAATATATACCAAAAAGTGTTATTTCTCTATATAAACTATATTAAACTTAAATACCCTCTCCCCAAGGGAGAACGGATAGCTCCGGGGTCCTGAAATTTACAATTTAAATAAAGCCCCTGATGATTTTCTTTCCATGCAGAGAAAATGAATGTAGTACCTCTGAGTCTGGAAGTGAAAAATTTGGAAATATTGGTTAATTTTCCCTTTGGGGCCCC